TGCTCTATAACTACTATTTTATGGATAGCTTGGTTTTACGCCTCGCTGGAGGTAGAGATGGGCACTAATTTGCATGGAGAGTTAGTGAAAATGAGGCTTAAGGAAGATTTATGCTGATGAAACTTAGAGGATAAGTCCTGAGTCGCAGGATATTTGTGCCCCACATGAATGTGCACCAAAAGGTCCCCTCCGCAGAGAAGGCGTCAGTATCAGCAGGACAACATACTCATTCTTTGAATTTAGTTGGCATTTTCCCTTGGGCCAGTGCTGGCAACCACGATGACATGGAAGGTGGTGCCTTTGCCCAACAAGACCTACTCTCCTTCCCCTGTTATCATCTGTCTATCACATTTGCCATCACTCAGTCTGCAGGCCACAGACAACACCTTGGCACAGGATGCAACCCCAACAACAGGCCAGTTTATCTGTGAACCCTTCATACTGAAATAGCCAGAAACTGGTGCCTCATTCATTGATCACCAGGTTTCTTCCAGTAATGCTACAGTGGACATCACGATGCATTTATCCAGCATGGTAAATTCATGTAAACCATAGTTTCCAACGAAATAACTCATTTACAACAAAGAAAGTAAAGCAATGTTGGATTGACAGATCTGATCTTATACTGTATCATTTATCATCCAAAATAAGATAGTTTTTTAACACAAAAGGGTTAGCTATTAATAATTGTTTATGAAGAAATGTGTAAACCAGGATTTTCCAAAGCTAACAAGGATGTGTAGTTGTTCTAGGTATTTCTTGCAAACACAGGATTCTGGGCTGGTGAGATGCCTATTGATAAAAATGTGATTCTGCTATAGTGACAAATGGGAGTCAATATCTTAGAGGATTGGGTGTTTGTCCTACATCTGCTTTCTGCCCTGACGATGGTGCTATTTATTCCAGATCCAAAACATGTGGGTCTGGGGTGAGGGGACCACAAAGGGAGGCAGGAGCGATGGGCCCTAAGACAGAGTTGTGCTATATGGTTGGAGAGATAGCTACTGTCCAGAGGACCCTTGGGACCATGCCTGCACTATCACATTTAGGAATAATGTCAACAGAAGATAGCACAAACCTCACCCACGTCCAACCACAGGGAAGGAAAGCTTGAGTCCTTATGAATGGAGACCCTTCATTAGCTGAGGTGCTGGCCGAGGGGCAAGGAACATGGATTGGGCAGCAGCTGGAAGAAGTTGTCTATTCCAGCTATGGCTGTGTAACCAGCCAGACTCAAGGACAACAGAAGCTGACCTTACCCTCTTCCCGCCATGTATTCATTTTTACCATTTCCACCCCTTTCTCTCCTTGTACTCCCCACACTCTTTTATCAAGTGTGTTGGAGATCACGAGCAATGTGACTTCTCCCATAGGGTATGATAGGACAAGTAGGTGTGGCTAAGGGATAGTAGGGTCAGATCACTCATCTATTTCCACCTCTTTCTTAAAACTAGAGTTCCAGGTGTGGTTTAGACACTGCCAGCCAAATGTTCTGATGCGAACCTTAAGTTTGGAACTAAAAAACTGTATTTTGCTGCCATGGAAACAGTGTTCAGAGTGGTTCCAAAGTGGCCTTCCTCCCTCCATTCTGGTTTCCTCGTTGTGCCTGAGGTTTAGCCAAGTTCAAAAGTTCAGTTTTGCATGGAGGTGCATTAGCTCAGCTTTCCAGAGTCCCAGTTCCATTGTAGATGGCTCTCTAGATAATAACAACTCCATTTTGCTATTTTTCTATCACACAAAATGTAACCACCTGAGTTGAAGAGCTCAATCAAGCCTGTTAAACGTGTATCCCCACATGCAAGGAGCACATATGCTGGAGGTGTTGGTGTTCACACACATCCAAGGCAGACGCAGAATTACAGGTCATGCTCTTGTTGCATTTCTTAGTTTTAACTTATGGATAAATTCATTTATGACATTTGATAGCAGGTTCTAAAACAGTATAATGGAAATGAGATCCTGAGATCATGAATGGGAATTAGCTAAAAGAGGAATACGGGAAAAGAGTCAGGAAGAAAAAAAATGTCTTCAGTCACTAATTCTTATAGAATTAAACACACAATGAGCTATCACCTCACACCTGTCAGAATGGCTATTATCAATAAACCAACAAACGAGTGTTGGCAAGGATGTGGAGAAAAGGGAAGCCTCATGCACTGCTGGTGAGATTTTAAGTTGGTGCAGCTACTGTGAAAAACAGTATGAAGATTCCCCCCAAAATTAAAATCAGAACTACCATATGACCCAGCAATTCTACTGGGTCATATGGTATTTATCTGAAGAAATCCAAAACACTAATTCAAAAAGATATATGCATCCTTATGCTCACTGCAGCATTATTTACAATAACCAAGATATAGAAGCAACTTGGGTAGTCAATTAATAGATGAATGGATAAAGATGTGGTACATACATACAATATTACTCAGCCATAAAAAGTGACATTTTGCCATTTGCAACATGAATGGATCTTGAGGGTATTAAACTAAATAAGTCAGAGAAAGACAAATACTGTAGGATTTTTTACTACAGTATTACTGTGGGAATTTTTTAAAATATAAATGAACAAACAAACTTTCAAATAAAGAGAACAGAGGGATGATTGCTAGATGAGAAAGAGTCTGGGTAAAAAAGGTCAGATTAAGATTAATTGCAAGTTATGAAAACAGTCATAGGGATGTAAAGTACAGCATAAGGAATATAATCAATAATATTGTAATAAGTATGTATGGTGACAGGTGGGTATGAAACTTATCATGGTGATCATAAGGTATATAAATATCTAATCACAATGTTGTAAACCTGACACTAATATCTCTGTCGAGTATAAAAGGAAAATAAATCTTTTTAAAAGGGGGGGATAGTTTTGCCATCTACCTATGATTTGATGACTATTGAAATTCTTCAATAATTTACAAACTGATTTTACAAACTTTAAATAGAGAGTCAGATAACAGTGCCTTTTCTTTATAAAATTTTAATGTTATTTTTAATAGGAAATACAACACATTTCTCATCCATTTAACCAATTTATCTAAAGGGAAAAATAGAAACATGATTACTAGTATGCTAACAAAATATTTTTAGCAAGACACGTAGAAGTAATATGTTAAACATTTTGTAAGAAACGGTATAAAACAAAGTTAAAATATTTTTGAAATGACAAAATCAGTTTAACCAACTTACATTCCTTCAAAGAGACATTTGCATTTCTTGTCTTGGCTTAAAACAGAACAACAAAAAACCCTCAAGTTACTTTCTTTCATCCAAATCAATTAACTATATTGGCTAAACTGCATAAAGTTTACAGGGATACGTTTTGATGAAAGCAATAAACAAAATTCAGACAAACTTGATATCAGACAAATGGCAAGTTTAGAAGGACCTTTCAAAGTGCCTTTAATGTACTTGGAGCTATTATAGATTTCAAAATGCACTTATGCACCTTTTGCACATCTAACCCTTATAGCATTCCTGAAGGAGGAAAGACAACAATGTTCCTGTTTTACTAAAGAGAAAGCTGAGGCTCCTCATTTAAGATCATACAACTTAATCAGTGGCACAAACACACTTATCAATGGCCTTGGAACACAAGACAGGGTTTCCTGTTGGTAGATTTACCTTCCTAAATGCATCAAGATATGATTCAAGCATGAAAAAAGTACGAGTTCCTTGAGGTCTCACTCTACTCATAATAAATGATAAGAAAAGTCAGCTTAAGATGTCTCACATACTACTCAAATTAAAGTAAAACACTAGGAAAAAGAGGAAGGCTGATAGATGGGAAGAATGATATGAAACATCATAACATGAAAAAGTTCCATGAGAATCTAGAATAAACTAGAACGAACTGAAAAAAGTGGTCTTAATCATAAAGCCAATACTCAGACCAAAATGATTTAAAAAAGGACATACAAATGACAAGAAATTATTAATTTTAGTTGCTCAGTGTATGGCATACATCCTCATGTAAATCATTCTAAAAGTTCTTTGAGGTAGACAAATGTTAGGAATGAACTGAGTTCATGTTAAAAAAAAAAATGAGGAGGCCTGAAGGGAGGCCCTATCTTTAACATTATCTTTAAAAAACATTCTAGTTATTTGTAAAAATCCTTTTTGGTAAAGTGCTTAGATGCTAGTGATTTTATTCCTACATTTAAATGTTGAAATTAAATATTTTACAGCTAAAGTACCAAAGCCAACTGGGACTTTTCAAAGAAAGCCTACCAGAGTTCACACAAAATTTTTAACTTTTTATAACTTGTGTGCTTGGACTGCATTGTTTTCTCTTCAGCTTTTCATGTTGAAGCTCAAATGGACTTCCTCTGAAAAGTGTCTCCATGATTCCCTCAGTCAGATGTAACGCTTTTTCTCTCACCACACTGGTGCACTGCTGTCATTGTGTTGTCTGCTCACTACTCAAAAGGCATACAGACAAACCTTGCTTCTTCAGTTTCGAATCTTCAGGACCTAGCATTCTGTGAGTACTCGTTAATCAAGCGCCCATTTGACTTGATCGCTCAAGCAATTCATTGTGTACAATGTGAACAAACTGGAGGTCTGTAGCTCTTTACATGAAATTCAAAAAAATTATCCTAAAAACTCATTTTTATTCCTGTTTCTTTTTGCCCTCAGGGAGAATTAGTCTACCAGGGCAAATAACTAGGTTACAACCTTAGCCTCTCTTTCTGACCCCATTTTTATTAGAGTTACATTTCCTTCATTAAAATATCCTTATGCATATTTACAAGTAAAATTAAGTCATGAGAATGGCAACAAAACATGATTCTTAACTACATAAAATTTTTTTATTCTGATACTAGTTCATGTAAAAATAAAAACAAATTCTTGTGCTTGAACTTTTTATTTATTTATTTATTTATTTATTTATTTATTTATTTAGGCAACCCTTGGTTGACCTCACAGATTGCAAGGACTCTGTCAGCTTTATAATCCCTTATTTTTTTATTTTTCATGCCTACAGCACCTGGTCATTCTAGGTGGTCTCCCATCCAAGTACTAATGAGGCTCGCCCTTGCTTAGCTTCCAAGATCAGACGGGATCGGGCTTGTTCAGGATAGCATGGTCATAGACTTTGAACATTATTTTTAAGCACTTAACAATGAATTTAAGAATGTGAACTTTCACTTGAAAGATCTCCAGGGAAAGAAACATTACGAATGGAATGAAGAGAAATAGCTATTCAAAGGCACATATTTTTGTACTTGTCTTGCTCCAATTTCTGCTACATAGATTGCTCCAGTCTTCCCACTGACGTCTAAGAGATGAGGTAAAACTTGATCTGCTAGTTGAATTGAGCTGATCACAGAACAGTAGCCAATGCTTCCTACTGGGGGTGCTGCCACAAATAAGAGCCTGCTAAGATTCAGCTGGGCTATAACCAAATACTTCTCGTCAGGAGTAAATCTAAGGAGAAAGACATTTTACATAATAAATTTATGCAAAATTAACGTTTGTTTTCTCAATATGTTTATCCCACCCCCCCACCCCCACCAGAGCTAAAGAGCAGGCACCTACTTGAAGTTTTTTTTTTACCCCCAAAAGTTGTTTTATTGGCCCTTCTGGTTGATACATTATTTAAAGCACATTTTCTAGATCCATAATATGCTGAATTCGTTCTTTAAGTGCTCCCCCGCCACACACACACAATAACAACAACAACAAAACAAGTTTCACAGGTTTCACATAAGAATTTATATATCAAACTGCTTACTAAACCAATTGAATGATTCATTTATTTTATAAATATTGAGTTCCTAGTGTGCCTATACTATTCTAGGTGCCAAAAATACAGTTGTGAGCAAGAAACCCAAATCTCTACTCTCTTGTCTTTATATTCTAGTAGGAGAATAAACAATGAAGAAATGGAGATAAAATAAAACGACAAGTATTTATAGAGGCCACAAAAAAATCCTAAGAGAGTCAAAGCATACAGAGTGATGGGGGCATGGGGCATGGACTTTATTGAGGGTTTAAGTATAGGTGACCATAGTCATGGGACCTGGCTATCATAATGGGTTGCCAAAAGCAAGAAGAGTCTCAAAGAAGGCCAGAATGAGTGTTGAAGGGTTCTTCTAAAGGGATTTAAATTGATCTAATTCTGTTAATGAGGGAACAAGAGATTTGTGATGGTAGAGATTGCCAAAGATTAGCTTAAGTTTTTTAAAAATAACACTATCAGAGTACTATACAAAATGAAAGTAACATGAATCAGCGTTAGGCTGGGTAGACTCAAGATTTTCATTTTCATTCTATATTTAAAAATTTACCAAACACATCTCGAAGGTAAAGACTACAGGAAAGATCCAGCATATACTATTTCTGATACTTGGGTCACACAGTGCACTGGGAGTGTTATTTGAAATTTGAAATATGACTGGAATTTGAAATATGACATGTTTTCTGCATACTTGTTTCCTTCCTTCTTTTCCCTGCTTAAAATTAACAATAAATATTTTATACTTTCAGCTAGCTCTTCAGAGAATCTAACAAAGAGCAAACAAAACAAGCATTTTAAAATAAAAAGCTATTACCTAACTGAAGAAGGTCCCTCTTCTGTGAAACAATTATTCCATGCTCCTAACCACTCCCCAGTGTCTTTATCAAAAACCTGAATTCTTTTATTTCCTCGGTCAGCAACCCACACCTGAAAACACAAACAAAAAATGTTTTCTGTAAAAGATCTATATCATGAGAAGAAAGAAAAAGAAGAAAAAAAAGGGAGACGGGAGAGAATGTTTATTTTCATTAATTTCACATATATTATCTCATTTAGTACTTATAGGACCCCAAAGAGGAAGGTATTAAAAGACCCATTTCAGACAGGAAATAAAGTTCAGAAAGGTTAAAATATCTTGTTTGAAGTCAGCTTACAACAAATGAGAGAACTATAGCCATCTGTCTGAACCCAAAGCCTATAATGCTCTGTCTGCTATATTAAACATTTGAGTAACTAAAAAACTAGAGTACTCCCATATAAGGCAGAGGATTTGTAGACACTGATGCAACAGCGTTCATTCATTCCTCTAACAAGCATTCACTGTCACTGAGTATTGCCAACTTGTCAGTTCTTGGAAGAATGACAACAAAAAACAGGCTTGCTTTTCATGAGTTCAGGCTAGGAGGAAACCAGGTATTCATTCATACTACAATATCATTTAACCTCTACCTATTTACCAAAGTATGTCCAAAGTACCAAAACACTTAAAGAGAAAGCTTGGGAAATTTTAGTAACACATAAAGAATAATTGTAGGCTAACAACAGTTTAATTTAGGTTTGCTACAGGCTGTAATGAGTTATTAAGGAAACTGCTATTATAAAACAGGAAGGTACATTCTAAAAGACATTTCAAGTATTGTATTTAATCTATGCAACCTATGGCAAACATATTGAAATAGTTTTTAATGACATGTGGCTAGGGTTGTAGAGATCTATGTAAAAATCAACTAGAAGGCTAGACCAACCTTGCTGCCCCTTCATCCCTATTTCAGAATCTTTGGATTTCTTGGGTTTGTGGATTCACGGACTATTTTTTCAGGGTAACCACGACTATGTCTTTGTCAGTGCATGTTAGTTTTGGTAGCCACTGAATTCATCTCTAATCAGAAACAAATATACATTCATTGCATCACTGTGGAAAGGCTGTTGATCCCTAAGCAAGGTAATTTCTCAAGATCTTTTCCTGATCTATGATTCTTTACTAAGGATGGGTTTTCTTTAAATATTTTGGGATTACTATCATAGATTAGTGACCAAGGAGGAAATATAGTTCAGTTCCTAGGATTGAATGACACTTGAGATTATTAGCATTATTTTTCCTACTCAGTGTATTTTAATTATAAGAAATATGGTTTAAGAAACAAATCTAACTCTGGAACTAATTATCTTTTTATATAAGTTTGGGGTGATGATTAAATGAATTAATCATGTAAAATGCTCAGAATAGCACTGCTGTTGTTATAAAAACACAAGTGTGTAGAAATAACTTATTTTTCATTATTCAGTAATGCCAAACAATCCCCAAAGCCACTCAAAAGGACATTCCTCACCATGGCCTAGGTCTTGCATGCTCAGAAATCTGATCTTGTTCTTATCCCATGAGAGTAGTTAATTCCAACTTTCTATACAAAGTTCACACGCTCAGTTTCTTCCTATGTATGATGAGAAATACCTGAAAATTTTACAATCAAAACATTCTCACTTTGTCAACATAGGAAGCCAAATAATCCAGAAAGTTCCTCGCCGAGAACAAAAATGGGTTAAATTTCTAATGGCATGAAGCGAAGATAGTCTGAAGCATCCATTATGCACCAAAACATTTAGTCATTTAACAAATATACATAAGTTACTACTATGTGCTAGGCATTGAGATATAGAGCAAAAAAGATTCAGTATGTGCCCTCATACAGCCTATACTCTATTACGGAAGACACATTATTCTATTATAGCATAATAATTACTATAATAGGGGAGTACAGGCTACTATAGGAAAACAGAAGGAGAAACTAATACCAAACAGTTCGGGTTGGGGTTTGGTTATAGGAAGGTAACCCCAAAGAAGTGGTATGTATGTTTAAAGGTGTGTAAAAGCAAAGAGGTGGCAGTGGATACAGGTGGAAAAATAAGAAATGTATTGTAATTTATCAGTTAAAGATTTCTGCTCCCCAGAGAGCAGTGAGTAAAATCAAGTTTGCCTAGACTGCTTCCAAGATTAACCTCTTCTATCTCCCTTTTGATCAATATATTCTACAATTAACTTAAATTTCAGATTTACAAATATATTTGAACACCTATAGTAGTTTTCCTAGTAGGAAAGCAACTCTTTTTCCCCAAGTAATTTTATGATCTGTTCCATTATTTGTTCCTTCTATCCTTTAAGCGACATAGGAAATCTATTTTGCTCATTTCTAAATATTTGGAAACTGCTTTCATTATAGGATTCAAACATTTATAAGGGAGTAAGTAGGTATAATCAGACCTAGAGGAACTGTCCGGACACACCCAGATACACACATCCACTAACAAACATACATATCCAGATGTCCAGACATGTACAGGTTTACCAAGATTCATATACACAAGACCAGATACACACACCTAGACACACAACCTTATTCAGGCACACAGTTCCAGATATGATGACTCTGTATTTTTACCCGACCAGCTGAATCAACTGTAACACTGTGAGGTATGCTGAACTTCGCAGGCCCTGTTCCATTTTCTCCATGTAGCCAAAGCACCATGAAATCTATAAATGATAAACATATATGGTTAGGGCGACATATCTTACAGAATATCTTGTGAATTTGTGTATTATATTTCATGTTATAGGTTGCAGACAAACTATTCAATTATAACCCCTCTTTCCTGGCTTTTATAGGTATTTTATATACCCATTTGCCTAATTCTTACGCTTTACAAAAAAAAAAAAATCATTTTGTTTCAAGCAATTAATCTACATCTTTAATGATTATCTCCATGTGAATTTTTTATCACTCAAAACATTGTTTAGGGTTCATGTCAATCTCTCCCTCAAAACTGGTTTCCCTTCCCAACTAAACTGTTCTTTGGTATTATCATTCCCTTGAGCTTAAATAGTCACATTATGTTCCTATAGTCTGTCTCCTTTGTTACCCTGTAGTGAGTTGAATTATGGCCCCCTGAAAAGATATGTCCAAGTCCCAACCTCCAGTACCTGTGAGTGACCTGACTGGAAATAGGGTCTTTGGAGATATCATTAAGTTAGGAATTTTGAGATGAGATAATCCTGGATTTAGGATGAACCCTATATCCATTGACTAATGTCCTTATAAGAGAAAGGGGAGAGATTTGAGACACACAGAGAAGAAAACCATGTGAAGACAGAAGCAGAGACTGGGGTAATGTTGCCATAAGCCAAGAAAGGTCTGGAGCCACCAAGAAGCTGAAAGAGGCAAGGAAAGAGTCTCCCCTAGTGCCTTTAAAGGAAGAAAGGCCTGCTCTTTAGATTTCAGGCATCTGTATTCCAAAACCACTGGAGAATAAATTTCTGTTTAAGCTACCCAGTTTGTAGCAATTTGTTGCAGCAGCCACAAGAAACTAATGTACCCATAGTCAATCTGTCTCCTAAATTTGGTTTCTTTCTCTCATAGAATTTTTTGGATTCTTTATCCCCAACTCATCTCCCTTTACTATTACCAAATTCAGTTACTAGGTGATAATTAACTATGTAGTCTCCATATGACATAACTTACTGCAAATGTATCCTGACATAGTACTGTGTCTTGTAAAATCTCTGCTTCTATAACAACTCTTCTCTATTTAAAAACCTCAGACTCTTTTTCTATTTTTTTTAATTTTTGTTTTTCAATTAGTGTTGACGTTCAATATTATTTTATATTAGTTTCAGGTGTACAGCATAGTAACTAGACATATAATTTACAAAGTGATTTCCCCCCATTAGTCTACTACCCATCTGACACTATACATAGTTATTACGATATTGTTGACTATATTCCTTAAGCTGTACTTCACATCCCTATGACTATTTTTTAACTTCCAATTTGTACTATAGTTGTTTTTGCTTTCTGGCCAACATGAGGTTTTTTAAAAAATTTTATTTTATAACTAGTTTCAAGTATATAATACATTGGTCAGAGAAAGATAAATATCATATGATTTCACTTACATTCGGAATCTAAGGAAAAAGAAGAAACTAATCAAAAACAGACTCGTAAATATAGAGGACAATCTGGTGATAGCCAGAGGGGAGGGGAGTTAGGGGGCTGGGAGAATGGGGTGAAGGGTTAAAGAAGTACAAATTAGTAGCTGATAGATGGTCACAGGGATGGGGAGCACGGCATAAGGAATGCAGTTAGCACTAATGTAATAGTTAGGTAGACAGTCAAAGACTCTTTATAGGCAAAATTGTGGCTTCAAACTCCTTAGATATGCTGTGGAGGAGAGACTTCCATGACATGACCTCTGCCAGACCTCTGCAAGACTAGATATGGGCCACAGCAGAGATTGCTTCATGTAAATCCCCTCGCAGACTGTCTGATCTATCTCTGCCCCTGGCAAGATAAGGCCTTTTCCCCTTATCTCGGGCAGGTCACCACCAGTTCCCCTATTCATCCTGCTCTGTTCTATATAATTCTTTAACCCCTAACTGCAGCTTGGAGGATATCCACATCATCTTGCTGCCGTCCAGATGTGCCTTCTGTTTAAGTTCCTTGAATAAACTCTTGATGTAATGCTGGGGTTGTCAGCCTCTTCCTTTGATCTCTTGGCCCCAAGAAATTTTCCCAAAATAAGCTAAGAATATCCCACATCTTATTTTCTAATATTTAAAAAACTGCATTCTAAGCTTCATTCCTAAAAACCTGCTAATACCACCTATAACCTGGAGTGATAAAGGCTCCTCCCATTTCACTGTTCTCCTCCCACCAAAACCAGTTTAATGCAAGAACTATTTCCTTTGTGAACTCTTGTCTTACTTCTTCAGTCAACAGTAATTCTTCCTCCTAATTTTATTTTACAATTTTATTAATTCTATTATCAATACTATAGAGTGGCATTTAACTTTCATTGGTAATAGATCTACACTTAGGATACTACTGAGGTTGCAAATTTACAGGGAATTCAATAAAACACTTGCTGATCAATCAAACTGCAGGATACCTCAACTCTGAGATTTCTAACCTCCCAATTCTTAATTGAAAAAATAACCACTTATTTCTTGAGCTCAGTATAACTTCTCATACAGCCTCCAGTTCATTTCAAAGGAAACACCTAGCTTTTGGTGAAGAATAAGTAAGACTATTATCAGAACCATTTATTATTGGCTATTCCACACATCTTTTCTTTTTTCCTAGTAATATACTTGAGTCTTTCACACATAGGTTCATTTAAAATATACTATTATATTAAATATCAAACAAATTAAGTCTGATTTATTAAATAATGTTCTTATAATATCATATATAAAATGAAATCATGTACCTTGGGACAACTTGATCAATCTGTTATTTAATCCTCCATCTCCATCCACAATGTAAATATCTCCTGTGTCCTCTACATATAATTCTGCAGGGTTATCGAACTGCAGAGGATTCAAACCAGAGCCTTTTTTGCCTGGGGTACCCAAGACTTGAACGAGATCACCAAAGGAACTGTATTTTTTAATAGTATGACCATAGGATCCTATAAAGACAGGCATGCATATTTCACAAATATACCACTCTACAAACATTCCTGTTTTTTAAGTATAGTTGAGCCTTGAACAACAGGGGGTGGGGGAAGTGATTAGGGTGCCAATCTCTGCACAGCTGAAAATTCACATACAACTTTTGACACTCATAAAACTTTACTAATATCCCACTGCTGACCGGAATTTATTGACAACTTAAACATTCGATTAACACATATTTTGTATTCTTACAAGAAAGCTAAAAAAAGTTATTAAAAACATCATAAGAAAATACATTTTCCGGCAGTTACTGAAAAAAATTCACATGTAAGTGGACACACGCAGTTGAAACCCATGTTGTTCAAGGGCCAACTATAAGCCAAGAGCAAAAATTTGATAGAAGTAAACAATAATAAAAAGTTAATAGGGTCAGATAATTAAATGTTATATTTGACAAGCCACAGAGCTTCTTTATCAGTTGTAGCCAAATCTGTTCATGAAGTAAAATCTCAGGTACTCCACAATAAGTAGATTCTAAATTCAAATAAATAAAACTAAAAAAATTGACACCTTATACAGAAAGCTCATGTTAAATGTTATGGGTAGACTATTTTCCATTTTTATCTGATGACCTTGAATAAGCATTACTTGTAAAAGGAAATCAAGGAACAATCTACATTTGAAAACTCTTATTTCAATCATTAATGTGCAGATCTCAAATTTCAGGTCAACAAAAAACATTTTCTATAACAGAGGTCTGCAACCTCCCCCGCCCCCAATGCAGATCAGTACTGGTCCTTGGCCTGTTAGAAACTGGGCTGCATAGCAGGAGGTGAGCAGCAGGTGAGCCAGAGAAGCTTCATCTGTATTTGCAGCCACACCTCAGAGCTAGTATCACCACCCCAGCTCCATGTCAGATCTTTAGGCATTTGATTATCATAGGAGCACCAGTCCCTGGTGCCAAAAAGGTTGGGAACCACTGCTCTGTAATACAGATTTTTTAAAAGTCTGTATTTTAAATCTGTATCGTGTAAACAAACTTAAAATTCAACCCATTAACTTTTCTTTCCTAAAAAGGGAATCTTTCCAAATCACTAATATCTTATTTTCTCACATTAAGATTTTTTTGAGTTATAATTATCTTACAAGCAAAGTATAAAGTACAATATTAATAAGTAGGAGAAAACCTACTGCTAAGAGAAATCAACTTGAAGGCATACCAAGACCAAACTAACTGGTAGCTGTTCAAAAGATAAACTGGGTACACTGAGCTTACTGGAAATAAAGTAAAGTAGCTTACAACACAATTCTATCTTGAAAATTGTATTTATTGTTATACTTGATTTAGAGACTTTACCTAAAGTTTGTTGCAATAAGAATAAAACATTAAAGAAAACAAACTCCAAAGTTTCTAAGGAATTAGCAAAAGTGATAGAATACCAGTAATGTTTTTTAAAAATGGCTGATTTGCAGCCCTGTTTTTATTAAAAGGAATTTATTCCATTGAAAAGTGGAAAGGAATACGAAAACTGTCTTCAGATCTGTACATGGAAAAACAAGATATAATGGAAAGAATGAAGAGATCGTGTGTTTTTATTTCTGGAAATCAGTGAAGCATTCTATTTAAAAAGATCACATGAATGGGATGAATTATAAAGTAAAGGCCTTTAACGGTAAATCCTAAAAAAAGTGAATATAGTCAAATTTTATTAGAATGATCTTAGAGGTAATCTTGTTTTTTTGGTTTAAACACAATCTTAGCATCCAAAATACAGTTTGAAATAAATGGGTCATTAGCTGAGGCTCAGAAATCTTTTGGATTCTGAGAACATATGTGGTAATGGCACTTTTTATATAAACTGAGATCTCATTAATTACAAAGTGTAATTTCTAGCAATATAAAATTAATCGATATTGGTTCACATACCACTTCCTACATCTGTGATCCAGACGGATTGTTCATGCAGTGTACTGGCTGCAAACATACCATGAGGTGTGTCAACTGTATAATTCCAGGCTCGTAGGAAATATCCATCCTCTGTGAACACTAATACCTTTTGGATGTTTTCCCCTCTCTGAAGGTATACAAAAATAACTGCTTAGATAAAATCAGTTTTAAGGAAGTAATTTTTATTTTGGCAGAAAGAAACAAAAGTTAAAAGTTAATCAAGAAAATTAGTAACATTTCAAACCCAGCTTCAAAACCTAACAATATTAATGTCTATCACATTGAAAGCCAAAATATTCTCTTAAAACCAATTCAAAAAACAAATTCCACTACTAGCATAATAAAAACACATATGGTTACTTAGTTAGGCTGTTGTTTACTTTGTGTTCGTAATTAAAAAAAAAAAAGTTATACTTACTTGGGCTACGTAAACTAGTCTGTTCAGAGAGTCAACTGCAACACAAAATGTTGCTCCAGTAAAATATTCTGAATGTTTAGGCCAACCTACATCCAGCCGGTAAAGAATTTCCTCAGTTCTCCAGGAAACTTGAAAAACAAACTCCCTTAAAACCTTAAATAAAATCAGAAGATTAAGATTAAGATTCAGGTTAAAAAAGAAAAAAAAAAAATCTTATTTTTAAGCATGCTTTGACACCTGACACAACTCAGAAATGATTGGGAAGAAACGGGTTTATGTATTTAAAGACCAAGACCACCACAATACAAATCTGCAAATTATTTGAGGATGTAGTGGGAGCTGGGAAAGAAAATAAGGAACATGTTGATAATGTATCATACACAGATGCTCCTTGACTTAGCTCCTGATAAGACCAACGTAAATTTAAAATGTGGTTAAGTCGAAAATCACTTACTATACATAACCTACTAAACGTCATAATTTAGTCTAGCCCTCCTTAAACGTGCTCTGAATACTTACATTAGCTTACAGTGGGTCAATTACCCTGAGTTTCATCTCAAAAACCCTTCCTCTTCTCATCAGAAGCAGAAGACACATATGCGCGTTTCATAAACGTGATGGGATTCGAAAACACAATATCCAAAAAGAACCTCTACAATGGAGAGTACCCACTGTTTACCCTCCTGATCGTGTGGCTAACTGAGAACTGTCAAGCATCACGAGAAAGTACCATACTTGCATAGAGCTGGCCCCTGGAAGTACAGTGTCTACTGAATGTTGTCACTTTTGCACCATCATAAAATGGAAAAATCATTAAGTCAGGGACCCTCTACACAAATATTTTAACATCGAGGCACAAGGCAACACCTAGGGGTTCCGATCCCCTCACCCATGTTTCAGACAAGCCAGTGCTCCCACCACCTCTGTCCCACAAGCGTCACCTCCCAAAAGTGCTATCCACACATTTCCTCACTATTCAACTCACCGGGGAATCACGAATACGCGAATGCAAAACCAGAAGTGCAAGAAAGCAGCCAGCGCCAGCCACGCAGAACCAGAATCTCGCCATGACGAGACAGGAAGCCCAGTGAGGAGCTTCCGTGGGCGGCTGGGGGCGTCCCCGGACAGCCTCTGGTCCACACGGTTCCTCTATGCACACAGCGCCCGCCTGGCCTCCGAGCGGAACCCCCTATCTCCAATCGCTCCTCCCTAGACGCGGAAAGTTTGAGAGCCGGAAAGGAGCAAACAGCAAGGCGAAAAATCATTAGAACTCGGCTTCCGGAGTCCCAGAGCATTCCCGGGTCCCCACCCCCACGTCACGTGCTTTGGGCTGACCCAGTGACCACCCTTTCTCGCCCCGCAGGGAGGTCTGAGCTGAAGACTTCTCCAGTCTGCCAAAATAAGGGTGCCCATAGCTATGCCTTAACCACTCGACATTCATTGTTTTTAAGTGAAGATTGACCAATCAGAAGCTAGCACAGATCAACCCGATACATAGAGATGTGACCCTCAAAAAATGACTTCCAGGTTCTGCAAAGGATGTCATCCGCATCCGATTCCGAGGCATTCAGGCATATACCATTGACACCCTATGTTCCCACACAAGGACCCCCTCCCTCGGCTTTCGAGGAGGAGTGGCCTAAACTGGCGGCGCGACGTTGAGCTTACTCGGGCGCGACGGTCTTCCTTGAAGGCCCAACGGAGCTGGTGGGCGCTGAAGGGGTAACCGGGAAGGGCTCTTGGCTGCGTTTGCGCTGCGGAGTGCTGGAGTCCCCCGCCCCAAGACACTGTGCCCCTTCGCCCGGCTCCCGTGCTCTCCAGCTACCAGTCCGTTCCTGAAAGCTGTTGCAGTTGTAACAAAGAGCCCGCCAGGCCTCCGCTGCCCAGGCTCCGGGACCCAGGATCCCGACGAGCGGCTGAGGGTGAGCGCGAGCTGGGTCATGAGTCCAGGTTCGCGGCGGTGAGGGCCGACTTTGAAAGCGCTGGTGCGGGCGGAGAGGCCAGCGCCTCCTTCCTCGCCGCCCGCGGGACTCGGGACTCAGGTGCCTCGGCTCCCGTGCGTCTCCACGCAGGATAGCGGCTTCACGACTGTCCCTCGGCGGCGCCTGCCTTTCAGCTACAGGAGACCGGCGCTTAGCCCTGGCTACCGAAGCCCAGATTTCTCTGCGGGACTCAGAGAGGACCCGGCTCTTCCCAGAGGTGTTCTGAAGTTTTATGGGAAAAAAAGCTGGGTTTTGTTTTTATAAGTCTCCACTTCTAGAAAATTTTGCCACGTTTGAAGTACTGTCTACCTCTTCGCATCCTTTCCTGCTCCTGGAGGCTTTTTCCTCTTAAGTTTTAAACATTTTCACTGTCGGAGCTGACCAGGGATGAACGTTTTGTAATCGAAAGTATAACTGTTATAACCACGTCGGGAGAGTAGCCAAGATGGATAAAAAGTCTTTTGAAACTGTGCTGGATGAAATTAGAAAGGTAATTACACATAATTCCTTAAATTATTCCATGAGGGAGGAATTCTCATAGCTTTTTTAAATTTGATAGACTGCGTGCTGATTGTGCGAAACATTGGTTTTGACTGCAAAATTGTTTGGAATTTTAACATCTAGTGTAGGCATTTATATCTTGATACACTAACGAAAGAAATAGAAATTAAGTCATGTTAACGCTATAAACATGTTGAAAATTTCGGCGGTATTGTAGAAATTATATTAAGAGAGTCTTCGGTTCCGAAGCTGGCTGTACAAATCTTTGGTAGCTCTGTACTTTTGGATAAGTGATTTATTATATATGAACCGATTTCTTCATCTTTTAGTAACATAAGAGTGGCTGAAAACTAAAGATAACGTATAGAAAGTGTCTTTAATGGCAGTTATCATAAAAGCTTGTTCAAATCTGAGAATTGGCAGACCGTATATTGCCTGGGCCAGGCAAAATTAGTGCCATGATGAAAAAGTGTGGCATTAAGTTTAAAGTCATACTCTTAGGAATAGGCTTCAATAACTTGAATTCCAAAACTTTTTTTTCCCTGTTTTCCAAGTTTTTACTTCTGCTTAAGGACATTTCACGTACTCCACCTCCCAGACTGAATCAGACCGCAAAAAATTTTGGAATCTAGCTTTGATCATAACAGTACCTCAAAGCGCAAAAATAAGAGTTTATGTAATAGGAACTGGAAAGCCTTAACTGTAACATTTTTATGGTAATGGAGGGTACTCTGTTTACAACTTCTGAGCAATTATCAACTAATTTCCATACCTTTAAGACCCTTGACTGACTTGGAAAAATTTGCCCATGAGGTGAAATTTACATATTTGACAATACTGAATGTTCTTTTTGGAATGGAATTTCTGCTTTTGCAAGCTCAGTTTGTCCAGTTAGGATTTGCAATAAAGTATCACCATGCTAACTCAGTATTAGGAATTTGCCATAATTTGTTCATGAGCTGATATTTAACTACTGTTTATGAGAAAATAATTTGTCCATTAAGGTAGACTAGTAGATTTCTATCATTGGAAGCTTTAGGGTATCAATTTGAGTATTTCCCCTTTCTAGGTTGTGAAAAGATCACATAGTAAATACGAATGAGGGGAATAGCAAATTTTCCAGAGATGAAAATCACACTCACACAAGATAGCAACTTAAGTCCTTATTCCTGATTTGCAATCAAAATATGTTTTGCTGTCTATGCCAAGTAATTATTCGATTAAAATGAGATGAAAATATAGGCATATCTAAATATGATAATTACTTTTTTTTTTTAAGTTACTCTCAGACTTTATAAATATAAGTCTGTTTAAACTAGGTAACCTCTTCCTGAGTGTCACCATAGGTCCATAGGTAATACTGGCTGTCACTACTGTCATTTAAAGCAAAGATATTTAAGAAGATACTAGGAAGGGAGAAGAAAGGAGGAGGGAGGGCAAAGTTGAATTTGCTTTTCCAAAAGGAGGTAAAGTAATAGCCATAATTATTGAGCACTTACTGTGTTTGCTTGTTTTAAGCACTTTCTAAGAGCTATTTGATTTGATTCTCCTAACAATCCATGAGGTGTAGGTCTATGCTCCTCATTTTACATGCGGCAAGCCTAGTCTGTGAGGTCAACTAGTTCAAAGTTACACAGCTAGTAAGTGGAGGTGAGATTCAGTTCAAATAAAGGCAGTTCTGACTATGGAGATCCATGCTGTTGTGCCTGAGGATACAGTCGAGCCTCTAAGGCACTGATGAAAGAATTGAGACATGTCTTGGCATCAACACAATCCAGGATTTTGTCCAGAAACTTGCTTTTGATTATATTCAATAATGATAACTCCCAAGATTACATTATCCAGAATGCCATTTCCCTCCCTTTTTCAATGAAAATTAAACTACTGAGCACATTGGATGTTTTTCTTAGTTGACTGGTTATAGTATTTACTCCTAGCAGAATGATACATGGGAAATACAAGTACCATAGTTTTATCGTAAAAGCAAAGGGATTAGTTTATTTTTAACAATTGGTAGTTACTCAGGCCCATTGACCATTTTTTTATGGAGGTACTCTCTTATTTTTTTGTATTTGTTTCTAAAATTAAGTTATTTTTTCCTTTCCCTTCTTCCTTTTCTTTCCTCCCCTCCCTTCCTTCCTTCCTTTTCTTTTTCTCTCTTTGTTACCAAATTATGATAGTCTGGTGTTTCCATCTGTACGCTCAGCAAATAGTCGCAAGGAGAGTATACATGATTTCATGAAGCTCTCAGTAGTGCTGAGTTAAGGCCACCGGACTTCTCTCTGAATTTCTCATTGGTAGATTCCATGCGAGGAACCATCATTTACTGAATACCTACTATGTGTCAGATATACTGTTGACTTTTAATTATCACAGTATCCTTGAGGTGGGTAGTGAATGGTCTTTCCCTTTTATGAGGGAGGAGGCTCTCAGAGTAATTAAAATGCCTCTCAGAGGCCACACTGCCAGTTAGTGGCAGGTGCACAGCTTGAATTCAGGGCTCTCTGGCTTCTTGGGGGTCTTTATATCCCTGTAGAAATACTTAGAGCCTCAACTGGACCTTGTCTTATTCATGTTTCTCTGTGACAGCACATGATAGATACTAAATAAGTAAACATTGTCCAATGGATGAGTAATGTCTGACATTTACTCTTAAAAATAACAGGTTGAATTTAGGATATTTTGAAACTCAACATTTACAGAAATTCTATATGTAATTTCTGTTAATGTCAAATCCTAATTCTTTTCTCTTTCTGTGTAGGAGTGAGTAGGGAGTTTTCCAGTTTCTCAGTGTATCCTTTATAGCAGTGGTCCCCAACCTTTTTGGCACCAGGGACTGGTGCTCTTATGAGAATCTAATGCCTGACAATCTGAGGTGGACCTGAGGCAGTGATGCTAGCGCAGGGGCATAGCTGCAATTAAAGCCCACCGCTCACCTCCTGCCCCTGCAATTAAAGCCCACTGCTCACCACCTGCTCTATGGGGGCAGTTCCTATGCGGCCTGGGGATTCGGGACCCTTGCCTTACAGCATGGAACCTGGAAAGGTAGAATGTCATGTCACCTCAGTGACTTTAGCTGCTTTTGCATGCTGGGGTGAAAAAGGTCTTCCACTGTTTGAGTTGCTTAGGCATTTTGCTATGTACATCTTACTGTTCTGTTTACATATATTAATGTTGTTTTTCTGTTTTTTAGGCTGTTTTGACAGAGTACAAATTAAAAGCAATTGAATATGTGCATGGATATTTCTCTAGTGAACAGGTATTCCTCTATTTGTTTAAGCAGAAGTTTTTTTGTGTGACATTCTGGTTAATGTCTATTTACCCGCTGGTCAGGGTCAGAATCACTTTTACTTTGTTGTTGTACTTATTCAGGAACTTTAGAAGCTTTCAGTTTTGGTAGAAAGCTTTTCAGAATTTATAGTTTGTGTTATTTTATAAACATAACCTCTTTCATGACAATATCATATACTAACAATTTTAAAATGCATTGTCTAAAAAGAGCAATTCAAAGTATGTATCATCCTGTGCATAACATTATAAATTTATAAACTTCTACTAGTAAATGTATTCAAATTTATACAGTATATGTAAGTCAGTACTTACAATATTCACTACATATTACAAAAGAAAACTTGAATAAGTGTTGAAATATTTTCTTATTTGAAGCCACTAAGTGAAAATTTAATAATAAGGAAAAAAATACAGTATCTAATAAGTAGTTTCTGTAACTTCAAGAAGACCAGTGGTAGTTTAGTGAAAACGTTTACCCAACTTTAGGGAGAGTTTGCTAATTTAAAAAACTACATATGCATGTACACACACACACACACACACACAGAGTTCTGAGGGACACTCAGAAAATACTTGATAGACAAATAGTGCAGAAATAGAAATGTACATCTGGAAAACAGTTCTGGGAAAGGGTAGGAACGTATATACGGTAGACAGTGTATGAATATAGATTGAGTTAGTAAATGCTCCAGCTTTCCATCTATTTCTCAAGCTGTCGCAAGCTTGATGCTTAAGCCTGTAGAAGTTCTGTCTACGAAATTCCTAAAATCTTCTTTATGATTTGCATTTGTTACTGGCTATTTAATGAGTATTTTTCAGCCATTACTTCTCAAAATCACCTTGTGCTTTTTAAAAATTTAAGTGTTTTGAAAAGATTTATAATTTCTCATAGGTAATAGCTTTTATTTCCTTTGTTTATGTGTTTGTGTGTGTGTATGTGTGTATGAAATTTTGTAGAAAACTTCTCTTAGTGGTTATTCCACTTTGCTAAAGTCATTAAAAGCTTTATTAAGCCACTTTCTAAGGGTGTGACCATCTAAGCCTTCTTTCTTTTCCATAGTGAAGATTGTTCTTCCTATATCAGACATGATAGTTTGTAAAGTTTTATGGCTGGTAAAGTGCCAGGCAGCATTTACTATATAGTAAAAACATTATTCCTATAAAACTGAGGATAAACAATACACTCTTACCAAATTATCTAGAAAGTACACGTAATACTATTTGTTGTTTGGTATCTCTTAATAAGGAATAAAAAGTATTTTTATTCTTCTACATGTATCTCTCCAGTTTTTATATTAAACATCCTTCGAGACCTTAATACATTCTTAGGAGCTCATAGTAAAATAATTCATTAACCCAGATTTTATTATCTTCTCTTCTTGAGGGTTTTTTTTTTTTTTTTCTTGGAGTGTCCTTGGGGGCGGTGAACCAGGATGGTAGTGACCACACAGAGACTTTAATATTGTGATCTTGATGCCCTGCTTACCTCTTACTAGCTACCTCACAATATCTCTCTCATTTGTTTGAAGTTCACCAGTGGTGGTGGGAAAGAGAACTTGGCTTTCTATATTCTCAAAATAACCTACCTTTTAGAAGCTGCTGGATTAATTCATGGTGATGCGTTCATTTTTAGGGAATAGATCTATGATGTAAATAGGAGTATTATGCTTTCCAAATTCAAGTAAAAGAGTAGAAGTTAGTGGACCTACACTAAACTACACCACCAAATACCCTTTTGTGATTAATTAAAACTGTCACTCTCCACTAAATTTTTAAAGTTTTCTATGCTGACATTTTATCTCCATCTAGTACTTTTCCAACCTTCCTTTTCTTTAGGTACTTTCTTTTCCCTATATCTCATACTTTATTTCTAAACCAGTGCTGTCCAAGACTTTCTGTGATGATGAAAATGTTCTCTGTCTTCACTATCTATTATGGTAGCTACTAGGCTTCATATGGCAGCTAAGCACTTTAAAATGTGGCTTATGCCAGTAAGGAACTGAATTTTTTATTTGATTTGAATTTAAGTAGCTGCACGACTATCCTGTTATAACACAGTCTCAACTTTGGTGCCATGCTTACCCTCATCTGGGCACAGGCAGCATATTTTGAATAGTAATTCAAAATACTGAAATAAATCTTGCAGAAATGTTTGCAAACACATTGTCATTAGAACTAAATTACTTCTTTGCATTCAGGTGGTTGATTTACTGAGATATTTCTCCTGGGCTGAGCCTCAGTTGAAGGCAATGAAAGCATTACAACATGTAAGTAACTTATTTTTCCTTAGAATGTAGAATTTAAGTATTTTGAAGTCTCCCCTAGTTTTCTGTTATTCATTTCAAGTTGTAGTTTGTTTGCATTAGAAAAACCCTAAATTTTATTATATTTTGTTTATTAAAAATAACTTAAAAAGTTAAAACTTCTCACACTGTACATTTAAATTATGTGTTCTGTACTATTAAATTGCACATAGGTTCATAATTGGCAGATTGAAGGAGAAAATATTTATAAGCAAGTAAAACATAGGATTTGAATTCTTAAGTATTTTTATGTACTTTCCTCTATTTTTGGATTCAGGCTTAGAAGAATAGTCTGATGTGTTTATACTTATACTCTTTGGACAAACACTGCCCAAATGAACTTTCAGCACTGATAGAGATATTTTATATCTGCTATCCTGTATGATAGCCACTGGCTACATATGGCTTTTGAGTTCTTAAAATATGTCTAGGCTGCCTGAGGAACTGTAGTTTTAGTTTTATGTAATTTTAATTTAAACAGGCCCTGGTGCCTAATGGTTGCTGAAGAGACAGCACAGTTCTAGAGCCTAGATTAACAGAGCCATCTAATTCAAACAGTATCTGGCTGTCTAGGAAGATTTTCCTAGGAGTATCAGTCATGGATAGCTTTAAGGAAATCAACAGATCCTTAACTTCCTAAACTAACTTGCCTAAGACAGTGTGTGGGTCTGTTAGTGCTCCTCTTCTGTAACAATTACTTTTTTCTATTTTACAAGAAAATGGTTATCTCAGCCATCTACCAATCACCTGGGGGTGGAAAGCTTTCCCCAGGGCCAAAGAGACAGTGCAATCTCCTGAGAGGGAGAGCAAAGCAGAGGGCTTCTTTAAGAAATGCTGTCGAAGACCTTACCTTATTTAATCAAGACAACAGACTTGTGAAAAAGCTCTGAAGCCTGCTTGCCTGTGTACCTACTTACCTTAGAATTAAAGTCCAGAAGTGAGAAGGCTAGCACAGGCACAACTTAATGCATTTATTTGAATTAAATTAAGCCCAGCCTTTTTGGACGAAGTAAGTCTGATTTGATTGTTTTCACTCTGAATACTGACTGTGACAATTAGGTTACATAATAGACCTTTTCAAAAATGAGCTAAATCAGTAGTTTCAGGGTTTTTACAAATATGTAATAAACATTTATAAGGAAGTCAATCTTTTGCAAATGTTTAAACTTCTGGTAAAATTTTTAGATGTCAGTGTGAAAACATGAGAAGGGATATGTAGTTTTACCAGTTCTTTTGAGTTTGGTACATGAGTAAAAATGTTTGAAAGCTATTGCTCCAAATTTGAGGAATCTATTGGGTATTGATTCTAACTGATCTTACACTGACTTTGCTTCTGAATTTCCTGCACTTTTAAAATAAGTTTATAAATTGGTCAAATCATCTACCTGCTCTTCAAAAATAAAGATACCTTAGTCAAATAAGCTATGTAACATCCCACATAATTTGGAGTGCTACAATGCACATTAACCTAAGACTTAAAGTTCTGCAGCAAAGAAACTCGTTTAAGCCATCTTTTTCGTAGCTGGTATGACTGTAGTACCTATTTTTAGTAACATTGTTTAACACCATGGACCTCACTTTAGGAGGTGCTGATTATGGCATGCTCTAACTGACAAATGAGATTTTTTGTAACTTCTCGTGAAATCTATCTCCCATATGTGTAGATATCCCTTTTTCATACAACCTTTCTAAGAAAAATAGTTTATCTATTTTTTTTTTTTTCTGTAGATGAACACTGAGAAATGTGGGTAAAAAAGAGCACCTATGAGAACTTAGATCTTCATTTGAAATAGTTACATTGAAAAGCTAAAGTTTAATTCACATGCTAGTTAGGGCTTACTTTTTTTTTTTTTGGCTTTATTGGACGCTTTGTAGGTGTCACACCAGGTTTGGGGCTTACTTTTGAGTAAGCAATTTATACCACAAATATTTACATTTCAAACACTTAACTGTTTGTTCCCCCAAAATGTCAGCTTCCGACATGAAAATTTCTCATGTTGAAATTAAAATTGTTTTTTATATTAATAGAAAATGGTAGCTGTTCAACCAGCAGAAGTGGTCAATATACTCAACTGTTTCACCTTCAGTAAAGACAAGCTAATTGCTCTTGAACTGTTAGCTTCGTAAGTATTTCTTTTTTTACTTCACTGGAAGAAATATGGAAGACTTTTTAAGTGTCTTTAACTCAGTGTATGTTAATGTGTCAAAATTAGATTAGTAAAGGGAACTCATAAAATCTGTGAACGCCTAGAGCTCAATTCTTCTATCAAAATATCTAGTTTACTTATTGTACATGATTATAACTTACAAAATAATGGGGCTTATCAAGTTGATTATTTATTTTGATTTGTCTGTGTTTCAGTGACTTGTTTTGTCTTCCTAGTCTGAATAACTTGAAAGGCTCATGGTAAAGCAATAGGATTTATGGTTAGATAGGTTCTGCCACGTTTCTGGCTTAATATGTGCTTATTCTTTCTGGACATTATTTTCCTCAGTCGTAGAAATAGGATCTCACCTACTTAGTATGATATGTGAACTTTAAATACTGCAACATATGTGAAAGCACCTAGCACAGCACTTAACAAATGATTATAATGAATGTAAGCTCAAAGAGAAAAAGGAACCTACTCTTCTGCATAAATGGAAGCGTATATAAGTTGTTGTTTGTTTATAACACATGCATTTTTTAAGTTCCTTGTATGCTTATAGATGTCCATCAAAATTAAAATTTAGCATAAGGTAAACTTCATCATTGGATCAATCATGATTTTTATTCATTAAACACATAAGTTTATTCTCTTGCCAGAGCTCTCCTAACACTCATTGAGAGGCATATTTTCAAGAATTTCAAAATAGTGAATTTAATTTGTAATATTACTTTGTTGCTTTCAGGTAACCAGATAAACCTCAGTTATTATATTTACCGTCTTTATATAACATGTTATTTATATTCACCAATTAAAAGTAAACAGTCACTTATCACGCTATGTCAAGGAAGGCTTACCCAGATGTGTTTGTGTGGACGTTTTTGCACAGTGGCAGCATTATAGCAAATGAGGTTTATCTAAGCCACAATTATTGCTCATTGAAGATATATTTGCGTGGTAAACAGGAGTTGTTGGTCACTGTGTGTTGTCCAGTTTCTTAAATAAAAAGCTAAATTGCATTTCTTTGGTAGAAACATTGTTGATGCACAAAATTCTCGTCCCATTGAAGATTTATTCAGGATAAATATGTCTGAGAAGAAAAGATGCAAGAGAGTACTTGAACAGGTAATTTTCTCAAGATTGCTGTATAAATAGTATGTTGTTTTTTTCTGAATATTGATAAAGAACCATTCTTATTCCTTTATTAACTTTGATGAATAACCTGACTGCTTTAATGTGATGGGTTAAGAATGACATCCCTGCTGTCTGTGGAGGAGAAATAGAGCTGAGTGAAGGGGACAGTGCAGGATGAAAAAAATGACTTGAAAATGAGAAGCCTGTTGGCTCCTCAGCTTGAGCCTTATGGATTATTCTTGGTCCCTTGGTAGCTTTGTCGTGGCTCCAAGCTATTGCTTTTAATTTTATGTATTTAAGAATTTAGCTTTTTGAATTTGATTTGTCATTAAGCTTATATTAAATTTATAAGAGATAAATAATAAAGCAAAATCTCAGTTTATTAATTAAAAATCTCTAAGAGTGGGAGAAGTAGTACTTGTCCAAGCCTAGAATCTTGGTTTGTCATCTAAGGTAGTTATTTCTTAGAATCGTGATGGGTGGAAACTGAATGAATAATTAAAAACCTGCTTGAGGAAAACATGAACTACTCTCCTACGGCCTTGCAGCCCAATCGTATTTAATCCTTACACCCTTTGCTAAGCTCAGGGAGAAGAGAACTTTGCCTTAGTCATAAATTACTGTAGCAGAAGCAGTATCTGAGCCTACATTTTGTAACGTTATTAACTTTTTCATTAGTTTTCTTGACTAAGTTCTTTAAGGAATCAAGCATTTACTGCTGTAGTTTTCTTCCTTATAAGACATTTTGATCATGTCACTTCTCAGAAATAATCTGGGCCTGAGTACTCTTTGAAATAATCCCGTTGGTCAGTATAAATTAGTATAACTTTTCTGGAAGGTAAACTTGAAAAGCTTTTAAAATGTTCATACCTTTTGACCCAAAAATGCTATTTCCGGGAATTTATTCTAAGGAAATAAATAGAAATATACAAATAAATATATAAGGGCATTTACCCTAGTACTATTTAGATACCCCAAATTTGAGATAATTTTTAGGGTTGGGGTGTTTAGTAGGAGACTGGATTATGTAGCTGTTATATGTGTTGTGAATGAATTTATAAAACTAATATACCTCTACCACAAAATATATAACATACATATTTTTAAAGATAGCCGTATATACATAACTTGATATTCCTATAACACCATATAGATCTATTAGAATATATGTCACCTAAGTTTTGTTCATTTATTTAACTAATATTTATTGTTAGGCACCATTTTAGAAGCTGGGGATGCAAGAATGAACAAGATAGACCAAAATCTCGTCCCTGAATATATCTCATAATTATATAACATTATGGTGAATACTCTGTACCCAAATAACTCTTGCGTTTTCAACAGTACATCTCTGTGGACACCCATGTCCCATGTTTTTCCACTAAGTTATAAACTTCTTTAGAAAGGAAACCATGTCTCTTTCATCTCTGTGTTCTCCTTACCTTGTCTGTCACAAGAGCTTGGTGTTTGTAGAGTTGGACAACGTTATTCTTGGTGGTTGGAGAATAGGACGTATTAAGTAACGAATGGACTTTTTAAAACAATTTACAAAATGTATTGTGAAGATGTCTTTGTATAGGAGTCTCTTAGTTGTGACATAAAAACATGTTTCCATTTTAATAATTCCAATAAAGGGATTTTACTTATTAATTTTGATCATGTTCACCACTCTAAGCGGTGATTGATGTATGAACAGATTGACTGTAATGCTGTTCCTTAATTTATGTTTTTCAGCAAAGCTTTCCAAAATTCAGAATATTTAATTTTATGAGTTCATTTGATTTTCTTTTTCTTTTCTTTTTTTTTTTTTTTACTACCCTCTTTTTTGTGTTATAGGCTTTCAAGGCAGGCTGTAAAGCTCCTCATGCTATGATATCTTCTTGTGGAACAATCCCAGGAAATCCATATCCCAAAGGAAAACCTAGTCGCATAAATGGAATTTTTCCAGTAAGCATACTTTTATTGGCTATATTTGAAATTTCCTGTGGCTAAATATGAAATTTAGCATAGTTATGATATTTGAAGAAAATGCCAGTTGATGAGGCTTCTACAAAGGAAAGGAATTTTATGATGTCAGAAACTTAATTCATAAATTCACCACTGAGTGAAAGTTCATATATAAACTACATTAAAGTAGTTAATGTAAAATGTACAGAAGTACAAGCCAAACACAAAAGAGGATGATTTTGTTTTGTTTTTCCAAGTATTTTAGAAGCACTGATTTACATTTAGTAAAAGAGCATTTCTCAAATTCTCAGACAGTTTCACAAGTAAGTATGTTTGGGAAACTATGCAGTGTTTCCTTCCTGGAGAATCCCATTGTATAAAAAGGCTCTGAGAAGTCTTGTAAGAAAGAAAATGTTTTTATATCTATTGTTCCTAAACTTTTTTATAAGCTAGCTCTTTCAAAGAACGGTATATTTTTATTACAGTGTAACAAACAACCCTAAAACTTAGTTTGTTACAGTGTAACAAACAACCCTAAAACTTTTATTATTTTCATGCAGTTGCTATGAATCAAGAATCTGGGAGTGACTTAGCTTGATTCTGGCTCAGAGTTTCTCATGAGGCTGGAGTCATCTGAAGGCTCGATTAGAGCTCCAGATTATGCTTCCAAAGTGGCTCACTTACCTGCCTGGCAAATTAGTGTTGGTTGTTGGAAAGGGGTGTTTTTTTCCTCACAATATAAGGACTTTTCCATAGTGTTGCTTGAGTATCTTATAACATGGCTACTGACTTCCACCAGAGCAAATAATCTAGAAGAAATTTTGTCTCTTATGACTTAGACTTGGAAGTCAAACGCCATCATTTCTAGAATATCCTATCTGTTGCACAGGTTAGCCTTATTCATTCTAGAAGGAGACTGCACAGCATGTTGGAGGCAAGGACCACCGGGGACCATTTTGGAAGTTGGCGTCCAACTGTTTAGGGACACACACTATTAGAAAGATACATTGTAATATTCTGTCAACTTAATTCTGATCTGTTAATTATAGCAGTCTTGAATGAGGTCTCATTTGCTTTTGTAGAATAAACTATCATACTTAATACTTATAGAGAACACCATTTTTTGTCATCTAGTTTCAACTGCAATGCAGGTACTCTTTTTGATTCTTTGATTATTATACATAATATAGAATTGGAAGTCTATTTCTGGTTGTAACTATTATGGACGGAAAAAAATTAGAACATGCTTGATCTTGCTCTTGTCTCATCCTCATGCGTGTATTGTGTATGTAATTCTGAGTACCTCTATACATGTAATGAGGTTTCTGTGGCATGTGAGGGTTGAGGACCTTATCAGGGTCAGGCAGCCAGGTCAGGATTGGGTCTCGAATCCAAGTCTTTAAACTCCTACCATGTTGATGTCTTTTATTCATTATAATACAGGCATACCTCAGAGATATAGGTTTAGTTGTAGACCACCTCAGTAAACCGAGTACCAAAATAAACCAAGTTGAAATCTTTTTGATGGTGGGGGTATTGTAAGTAAACTGCAATAAAATGAAATATGCCTGTACAGTGATGGGTTTTTTTGTTGTTGTTTTGCTTTGTTTTTGCTTTTGGGTTTTTTAAAGTCTCAATTATCTTTCTTCATTTTATTTTATTATTTTTTTTTTAAATAGGGAACCCCTTTGAAAAAAGACGGTGAAGATTGTACCAACGAAGGCAAAGGAATAGCTGCACGGATTCTTGGACTGTCTAAACCAGTATGTTTAGAAAATAAATGATGAAAGAGGTCTTAACTCTTACATGTGGTTTTCTATCTATTCGAAGCACAAATTATGTTTTTGCTTTGTGAAGTTCAAAGAATACTAAAAACTCAAAGTGCATGGTCTAAGGCAATGTAGTATAATTAGTTAACAGTGCTAAGGGCCTTTTTAAAGGAATGGAGCCAGAAGGTTGGGCTTATTTTTAAGAGAGTGATAATAATGATTGACTGGGCTATAAACTGAACAGAAGATAACCCCATGGATTGAAGGATCATTGGAATTGATGTACTAGAGGCCTCCCACACAACCTCTTTGCAGTTCCTACGTGTCCACCTTCAAAGGCAGTCATTTCTAGCAAAATAGTTACGGATCATGGTCCTTGCATGAGATTATTGCATCAAACAGAACTACCATTATGAGAAGTAGAAAGAATTTGGGTCCTTTACCACCAATGGAGCCCCTCTGCACCAAGGGTACAAATGTGTGTTCTCTCAAGCATATATGCTCACTGTCTAGTTAAAAGTACAGCATTTGGCTTAGCTTCAGATACCACTCGTTCTCTAGAGACCAATTCTTTTAATGTTCCATAAAATAAAAAATTTGTGGATTTCAAAAGGCAAAAAGACCAAAATAGTGAATTTGTAATTTCAGTCTACATTCTATTGGAGTTGTCAGAATACTGAATGCTAAAGGAAACTGCTTTTTTTCTCCCAAAAGGAGAAAAGAAGAATGCTAAAACGAATCCCTAATGAATTTGGAGGGTGTTGGAGTATTTGAGTAGCTGAAGTTCCAAAAGCTAGTGGATTTCTTGTGTGACATAGAAGGAGATGGAATTCTTGGATTAACGTTGGCCAGGTCAGAGAGAGGCTTGCTTTTTAGGATAAGGTCTGACTGGAGGTGATTTAATGCTGAAATTAAAAATAAACTCCTCTGGGCCTTTCGAGCCACACTTCTCTTGCTCAGGCCCACTTCCACTCCTGGAAGTGTCCTTTGCATTCTAATAAAACTTTCCTACTGTAAAAAAAAATAAAATAAAATAATAAACTCCTCTATAGCTATCTTTGGCAGGATTTAACTTTGGAATTTAATAGGAACCACATTTTTTAAATCAAAGAAATTTTCCTTATTTGAGCCATGTTGGTCCTGTAGCGTTAGCTTTGCTGGGAGCATTTTTAGCCTCTTAGGACTAAATAGTTAGAAAGACAAGCTGTATTTTGTTTTGCCAGGAAGTCGTTACTTGGTTTTCGTCTCACTGCTGTACTTTCCTCCTCTCATCTAGCCTCCTTCAACATACAATCCACACAAACCTGTTCCTTATCCAATACCTCCATGCCGGCCACATGCAACTATTACACCAAGTAAGGAGTTCTTTCATTTTTTTCACATACATCGTTTTTTTTTCTCTTCAATTTATTAAATTGAAAGTAAGTGTTAGTATATGTACTTGAGAAATCTAGAGCATTTATGAAATGTACTATGATGATTTTAACTCTTCTGTAGTCAGCTACTAGTGTCTTGGTCAACAACAGTACATAAGACAGTTTAGGATATTTCCTTTTGATTACAGATTATTTTTAACCATTATTATGACAGGTTTTCTCTTTGGTAAGTCATCTTGAATCCCTTTTTGATAGCTGATGTTCAAAGAAATCATTAATGCATATAACTTTAAAAAGTCATGTGTATATGCTTGAGAGATAGGACAAATAATTTAAGTATGGCATGTTTTGCCTCTCATGCCATTCAGTAAGCTTATGCTTGGAGTCAGCATGTAATGGGAAATGGGAATCTCCAGTTTTCTATTATGATCTCAGTTTTCACCTAGTCCTAAACCCAATGTAAATTTACTCCATGTAAAATGCAACTCTATTATATAAGTTTTAAAAATAAATTAGATAGGTACGTTAATACAGTTTGAAGTCGTGACCACAAAATGATACTAAATTATATTTTTCTCTATTATATTTTTATTTTAGGTGCTTACAACAATGCAGGTCTGGTACCATTAGCCAATGTCATAGCTCCAGGGGTACCCCCTCCACCTCCATATACTCCTAATCCAGTAGGAACAGGTAAAATCATGTTATGGAGTATTCAAAGTAAATAATTTATTTATGCATAAATGTACACTTGGAGGGATTACTTGTTTGAAATGGTGTGTCAGAACAGGGAGCACAAACTTAAGAGCCTGATGATGGATCTGAATGTGATGTACAAGTTCCACTATAGTGGTCTTGGCCTACATGTGTGAACACAGCAGGCTGTAGAAATAAGAATCATTTCTCATGAGAAAAAACTTTGACAGGAAATGTGTAATTGACCTAATGAATGTCATTGTTTGGGCAAATTACTTCTACCTTGGGGAAGAGAGGCTCGTAAGGAGGTGCTCAGGTTTTA